AACATCTTAATCCACTGTACAATCATGCTGACTGATTTCTAATATTATGTTGAATAAAGGTGATGTATCTGCTTGCCTTGTTCAACATCCTTGTCTTGGTCTCATTGTTAAGGGGAAATATGTGGGACATTTACCATTGAGTATAATATTACTTGTAATTACTTGTCTGAGAAGACTTCAAAAGTTTGTGGGAAAATGGAATTAAAAGATAAATATTTTTGATCCAAAAATGTGGAAGCTATGTGCACTTTTTCTTTTTTGTTTTTTAAAGATTTATTTATTTTTATTACAAAGTCAGATATACAGAGGAGGAGAGACAGAGAGGAAGATCTTCCATCCGATGATTCACTCCCCAAGTGGCCGCAACGGCTAGAGCTGAGCCAATCAAAATCCAGGAGCCAGGAATCTCTTCCGCGTCTCCCACATGGGTGCAGGGTCCCAAAGCTTTGGGCCATCCTTGACTGCCCTTCCAGGCCACAAGCAGGGAGCTGGATGGGAAGTGGAGCTGCCAGGATTAGAACTGGCGCCCATATGGGATCCCGGGGCGTTCAAGGCAAGGACTTAAGCCAATAGGTCACGCCGCTGGGCCCCACTTTTTTCATAATGCACAGTTTATATAGACTTTTTAAGGAATCCTTGCAGATATATTTTATAAACTTTATTAAGTTAAGCTAGTTACTGAGTTTTTATCATGCATAATTTATTTTGAAATTTGTAAATTATTTTTCTAGATTGATATTATATGTAGTTCTATTTTTATATTACTAGATTCTATTTGCTATATTTTGTTGAGTAATTTTGCAATTGTTTTCATGAGGAATATTGGTCTATAAGGTTTGTTTATTTTTGTACTTTTTTGGTTGATTTCAAGATCAGGGTAGATAGAAAGATCCTCCATCTGTTGGTTCACTCCCCAAATGGTTGTAATGGTCAGAGTTGAGCCTATCTAACACCAAGAGCCAGGAGCTTTTCTGGATCTCCCATGCACTTGCAGGGTCCCAAGGCTTTGGCCGTCCTCCACTGTTTTCCCATACCACAAAGAGAAGCTGGATAGGAAGTGGAGCAGCCGGGCCTGAACGGGGACCCTTATGGGATCCTGGCACTTAGAGGTAGAGGATTAGTCAATTGTGGTGGGCCCAATTTCTGTCTTAATACCCTGGCTTCATTCTCAGTATTGGCAAAGTAGCAATTTGTTTAGTCTTGGTCCTTCTCTCTCCCTTATTTGTGTAATATTTTATGTAAAAATACATTTAATCCTTTATCTTTGCTCTTTACCATGATTTTGATTTTGATTTTAAATGTTATTTCAAGTGGCTATTTTCTGATACAAGTTTTGTTTGATAACTTATAATTTTTGTCTACTGATGTTACAGCATAATGTGTTCAGCCTCTGACTGTGAAACTGACATCTTATAAGGGTGCCAGTCCAAGTATTGTCTGCTCCAGTTCTGATCCAACTCCCTGCTAATGTACCTGGGAAAGCAGCAGAAAATGATCTAAATACTTGGGGCCTGCTACCCATGTATGAGACCTAGAATCCCCTGGCTCCTGGCTTTGTCCTGGCCCAGCCCTGGCCATAGTGGCCATTAGGGGAGTGGAGAACCAGCAAATGAAAGAGCTCTGTTTCAGTCTTTCTCTCTTTCTTTAACTCTGCTTTCCAAATAAATCTTCAGAAAAATTTCTTGTATCTAATCAAACGAAAACAGTTAAACCTATACTGAACCTTTTCTGGAAAGACCCTCACTGAATTAACTGTGGTACCTTCTGTTGAAAATGGATCAGGAGACTTTTGCTTATTTACATTCACAAATACCTATTTCTGTTTATTTAGATTTATCTATATCTCCAGTACCTGATACAGTGCTTGTCGCTTAATAGATACTTGTTAAGTGGGTGGAAACTTAGCAGAGAAAAACACCATCCTTATCTCTGTAGAACTTTTAAGCTAATGATAAAGCTAGATTCAATTTGAAGAAAAGATCATAAATGCATAAAGATGGGGATGAAAAGGTCAATTTAGTCCAGCTTAGTTGTAAGTTTTAATTTGAAGGAGTCTTAATTTTATTCAGGAGGAAATTGGTAGTCATAAATTTTTGAGAATAGAACACTTGTGAGAAGAAAAATAGTCTCCTTTTGGAGGACTGCTTTGGGAAGGCTAAGACCTTTTTTGTCATGAGGTCAGTCAGTTCTGAGCTTCCTCATTAACTATGGGTATGGATAGCAAGAAGCAGAGCTGTTGGAAGGCATCACTGGCTTTCAAATTGTTTTGGTTCAATCATCCAAATACTGGACTCTGATCCTCTCTATAACCAGAAACACATGTTTACCCATAGAGGTTTTCTCTGTTTTCCTATTTTTCTCAGTTTTTCCTTAAAATATTAAAAATTTAAATGAGAGCAAAAAATAAATTATAATCATGTACAACACTTTACTACAAAATTTCATCATAACCCACAGATGCTTAAAATTTTATTAAATTAGTTCAGCAGAATGGTGCACATTAAAATTCCAGGAACCCAAACTGTGTTTATGTTCATTCGTACTCACTTTATAATTCATAGTCTTATATAAAGCCATTGATGTCAGGCACAGAAATTATTATAGGAAAATAATTTGTTTTCATTTTTTAAAGATTTATTTGAAAATCAGAATTACAGAAAGAGAGAGAATGAATGAATGAATGAATGAATCTTCTATCTGCTGATTCACTCCCCAGTTGGCTGCAGTGGCATAAGACAGGATCCTGGAGCTTCATCCGGCTTCCCATCTGGATGGCAGGATCTGAAAAACACCTGGACCATCTCATGTTGTTTGTCGTGGGTCACTATCAGGGATGTGGATTGAATTTGCAGCAGCCAGCTCTTGAACCAGCACGCATCTGGTGGCTTTTCCTACTTTGCCACAATGCTGTCCCTTGACTTGTTATGTTGCTAAGAATGCCTTGTGAAAGACTGGAAATTAAGCACAATACTGTCTTTAATATTTGTCTGCCAGAACGGATAGATAGACTTGGGTAATGGTTGTTGAGATAGTCAGTTCATTGCTGACTCAGTGTGCTTTCAAACATCCACAAGAGCATTTGGATTTGCGTTATTGCTTTACTGATTCTTTCCTCTTAGGAAGTTTTTTCTGTCTGCTCCAGTAGTTTTGAGATTTTTGCATACTTTATGTATGTTTTTTATTTATTTTTTTTAAAGATTTATTTTTTATTATTTTTTCATTGGAAAGGCGGATATACAGAGAGGAGAGACAGAGAGGAAGATCTTCCATCCGATGATTCACTCCCCAAGTGAGCGCAACGGGCCGATACTATGCCGATCCGAAGCCAGGAGCCTCCTCCGGGTCTCCCACGCGGGTGCAGGTTCCCAAAGCTTTGGGCCGTCCTCAACTGCTTTCCCAGGCCACAGGCAGGGAGCTGGAAGGGAAGCAGGGCTGCCGGGATCAGAACCGGCGCCCATATGGGATCCCGGGCATGCAAGGCGAGGACCCTTAACAACTTGCGCCACCGCGCCGGGCCCTTATGTATGTTTTTTAAAAACTTCCCATCACCATGGAATAGATTTCACAGCTATTGATATTGTTTTAATCTTATTTTATTTATACCAAGACCCATATTTCACATTGTATATTATGGATATATGCATATATGTACATTTGATGATTCTTAAAAATTGTTTTCTCTAGGAAACATAAATTTTGAAACAATGATGGAGATTCTTCGAGATAAACCAAGTGGCATTAATATGGACGGTGGATTCATGACGACTGCAAGCATGGTTTCTGTTTTACCTCAAGACCCCAGCCTGCCCTGTGTTCACTTCTTTACAGGAACTCCCGATCCTGACCGGTAAAGTACAGAATGCTATAAACAAGCAAGAAGTCAAAGGGTACGATAGAACCATTAGTTGATGACTTTGTCAAGTTATATCCAGATGTCAATCTCCAACACTGAATATCACCCTCCAACTGTGGAGGGTGAAGGAAGAAATGGTCAATTAGTACTTCATTGACATGGTTTATGCACCAGGCCCTTTGTTAAGTTCACAAGAATATAAGGCTACACAAAATTCCAAAGAATATCCCAAGAGTATCAGGGAAGGCAAAATTGTTTTCACCAATATGACAGGAACAATTAACATGTAACATCATTGATAGTAAACTGCTAACCACATGGAATCTTGAAAGGCTTAAAGGGATGCTAAATATTTTTAAATATATTGACATACCAATTTAATGAAGACTCTTTTTTTCTAGATCTGTTTTTAAGCCTTTCGTATTTGTGCCACATATTTCACAACTGTTGGATACCAGTTCACCCACATTTGAACTTGAAGACCCAATAAAAAAGAAACCAAAGCCTGACAGAAGACACCCACTCTACCAAAAACATCAACAGGCATTGGAAATATTAGAAAATAATAAGGTATGATTAGTTGATCCTCTGTGTCATTTCATATCAAATAGAAAGTTTGATTCATTCCATTTATTGAATTTCAGGCTCTCAGCTTTTTTCCTTCCTTCATATAAAAAATAGATTTGGAAATATTTTAGATGCTCAGAGTGCAATAGAGCATTATTATCTTTTGTTTTCAATTAGTAATGTAAGAGGTCTGTTTTAGAGAAATTTAGCATATTAAACATAATAGTAACTAATATCAAGCATGATAGTGCTTTTTTAAAATTCTTATTGCAAAGTCAGATATATATATATATATATATATATATACAGAGAGGAGGAGAGACAGAGAGAAATATCTTCCGTCCGATGATTCACTTCCCAAGTGACCTCAACGGCCTATGCTGCGCCTACCCGGAGCCAGGAGCCCAGATCCTCCTCCAGGTCTTCCACGTTGGCACAGGGCCGCAAGGTCCCCAGGCAGTCGCTGACTGCCTTCCCGGGCCACAAGCAGGGAGCCGGTCTGGCAGTGGAGCTGCCAGGACCAGAACCAGCACCCACATAGGATCCCAGCACACTCAAGGCGAGAACCCAAGCCACCAGGTCACGGCACTGCACCTCTCCTTTTAAAAATTACAATAGTACTTTCATCTATTTATTTTTAAAATATTTTATTTATTTGGCCCATTGTGATGGCTCAGTGGCTAAATCCTCACCTTGCAAGTGCTGGGATCCCATATGGGTGCTGGTTTGTGTCCTGGCTGTGCCACTTTCCATCCAGCTCCCTATATGTGGCCTGGAAAAGCAGTAGAAGATGGCCCAATGTCTTGGGACCCTGCACTCACAGGGCAGTTACAAAGAGAGAGAAACTGTATGGTTTCATACTGAAGGTTATATTAAGGTTGCAAATCTGTTTTGTTCCATTCTTCCATGATAATTCAGATTTTTAAAATTATGCTCACTTTCTCACTTTCTAGTAACTTTATTTTAGCCTGCTGTTTTTCTAGTTACCATGGTAACTCATTAATACTAATAATTCCTTTCTTTCCTTTTTCTGTCTTGCTGAAACAAGGAGGCAGTCTCAAAGAAAATGTCTTTTAGTTCCTTGACCCCTTAAACAATACTGTTCTGTTTCCCTAATTTAGTAATACTGGTCTTAAATATAGAAGATCTAAACTCATAGAAATAACTTAGCTCAATTTTCAGTAGACTTCCATACATGATTAATATGAGATTTCCAATTGTCCTGTTGTTTTTTAAAAATCTTGCTAGTAGATTATTCTATATAATTGTCTTTGTCTATTAAAAATAATAACTTGATATTAATGTATTAACTCAATCTAGAGCAATGATTTTTTCAAAGAATTTAATTTTTTTTCCTTTTCTAAAAAATAAATTTTATTTAGTTGAAAGGCAGAGTGATGGGAGAGGGGAGAGCCTTCCTCAGCTGAAAAATAAGGGAGAAAGCAAGCCAGAAACAACTCAAAATGAACAAGCTTGCATGTAGATGTGGGTTGGAATTTGATTTGACTTATGTGTGTATTTATTTTTATATTTTTAATTATTCAGGAAAAAGCTAAAACTTTGTTGGACAACATGAAGAAACTGGAGAAAGAACTATTTGAAGAGATGGAATCAATGCTTCAAAACAAGCATTTTGATGTGGATAAGATTGTTAATCTCTTTTCTCAAAGTACAAAAGATGAAATTAGAATTTATAACTCAAGTATCAGTTCGTAGATACTATTACCTTACAAATGATATAACCTAGTTGGAAAGATCTAATTTTCTTTAATAGCATCTTGTTGAAATAATGAGAAAAGATAAATGCTGGAATTAGACAGATATATCCTGGAATAGCTAAGTGTTACTCCAGGTTCGCACTTGTGTCATTTTGTTTTTAACAATAGTAACTTTTGTTTGGCAGAATAATTTATTGCTACATAAAGGGTGAAAGATTATAATCATACATTAATTTATGTTTACTGTAATCATGTAGTGCTTTAAAATAACCAATTACATCAAGAAAACAGATTCTTCATTAATAATGGAAAACACTTCAAATGGCAAGTTTTTATTTTCTTTTAGGCAACACCGACCACTTCTAACAAGAAAAATTTTTGGATTTACACATTATGTCTTTATCAGTATAGTGAATTAATTTTATAAATGTGATTTTATTAAATTCAAACTTTTTTGTCAAGACATGGCTGATCAGATAGCTTACAATTCTAGTTAGCATGAGGGGGATGAATTCTCTTTAATGGACTTTTCAACTAATAAGATATTTTTAGAAGGGCTTATCTGGGAGATGTGTGAATGGGATTAGAAAACTGAGAGTTTAGGAGATATAGCTTCATCTTCCTCTCATTTTTACTTCTATTCATTTGGTAAAAACAAGAATAGAAATGAGGTAATGGCAATGAAGCAGAATTATTATGTGTTATTATATCATAAAATTATAATATATTATGTATTATAAACATTGTGAGTTCTATCTTCCCAAGACTAATATTTATTAAAGTTACATACATTTTACCAGGTAGGACAAAACCTGTAAAGATAAAGAAAAGAAAAATCGATTGCCTCTCGGCAGCGGGTGGGTCCCGGGACAGGGCGTCTCATGCCTGGATCCCATACGCCCGCCATCATGGGCACTTGGTGAACCGGGCTTGGGCCTGCCTGCCAGGGCTCCAAGGCGGCTTCCTTCCTTGGGGTGAGTACACCGACCGAGGGGGGAGGTCTCTGGAGCCTGGCTAGGCAGGCCCACCCGCCGCTCTCATTGGGCGGCGGACGGGATTGGGGGTGGTGCGCGACCTTGGCCCTGGGAGCTTACACCTCCCATTGCCTCTCGGCAGCGGGTGGGTCCCGGGACAGGGCGTCTCATGCCTGGATCCCATACGCCCGCCATCATGGGCACTTGGTGAACCGGGCTTGGGCCTGCCTGCCAGGGCTCCAAGGCGGCTTCCTTCCTTGGGGTGAGTACACCGACCGAGGGGGGAGGTCTCTGGAGCCTGGCTAGGCAGGCCCACCCGCCGCTCTCATTGGGCGGCGGACGGGATTGGGGGTGGTGCGCGACCTTGGCCCTGGGAGCTTACACCTCCCATTGCCTCTCGGCAGCGGGTGGGTCCCGGGACAGGGCGTCTCATGCCTGGATCCCATACGCCCGCCATCATGGGCACTTGGTGAACCGGGCTTGGGCCTGCCTGCCAGGGCTCCAAGGCGGCTTCCTTCCTTGGGGTGAGTACACCGACCGAGGGGGGAGGTCTCTGGAGCCTGGCTAGGCAGGCCCACCCGCCGCTCTCATTGGGCGGCGGACGGGATTGGGGGTGGTGCGCGACCTTGGCCCTGGGAGCTTACACCTCCCATTGCCTCTCGGCAGCGGGTGGGTCCCGGGACAGGGCGTCTCATGCCTGGATCCCATACGCCCGCCATCATGGGCACTTGGTGAACCGGGCTTGGGCCTGCCTGCCAGGGCTCCAAGGCGGCTTCCTTCCTTGGGGTGAGTACACCGACCGAGGGGGGAGGTCTCTGGAGCCTGGCTAGGCAGGCCCACCCGCCGCTCTCATTGGGCGGCGGACGGGATTGGGGGTGGTGCGCGACCTTGGCCCTGGGAGCTTACACCTCCCATTGCCTCTCGGCAGCGGGTGGGTCCCGGGACAGGGCGTCTCATGCCTGGATCCCATACGCCCGCCATCATGGGCACTTGGTGAACCGGGCTTGGGCCTGCCTGCCAGGGCTCCAAGGCGGCTTCCTTCCTTGGGGTGAGTACACCGACCGAGGGGGGAGGTCTCTGGAGCCTGGCTAGGCAGGCCCACCCGCCGCTCTCATTGGGCGGCGGACGGGATTGGGGGTGGTGCGCGACCTTGGCCCTGGGAGCTTACACCTCCCATTGCCTCTCGGCAGCGGGTGGGTCCCGGGACAGGGCGTCTCATGCCTGGATCCCATACGCCCGCCATCATGGGCACTTGGTGAACCGGGCTTGGGCCTGCCTGCCAGGGCTCCAAGGCGGCTTCCTTCCTTGGGGTGAGTACACCGACCGAGGGGGGAGGTCTCTGGAGCCTGGCTAGGCAGGCCCACCCGCCGCTCTCATTGGGCGGCGGACGGGATTGGGGGTGGTGCGCGACCTTGGCCCTGGGAGCTTACACCTCCCATTGCCTCTCGGCAGCGGGTGGGTCCCGGGACAGGGCGTCTCATGCCTGGATCCCATACGCCCGCCATCATGGGCACTTGGTGAACCGGGCTTGGGCCTGCCTGCCAGGGCTCCAAGGCGGCTTCCTTCCTTGGGGTGAGTACACCGACCGAGGGGGGAGGTCTCTGGAGCCTGGCTAGGCAGGCCCACCCGCCGCTCTCATTGGGCGGCGGACGGGATTGGGGGTGGTGCGCGACCTTGGCCCTGGGAGCTTACACCTCCCATTGCCTCTCGGCAGCGGGTGGGTCCCGGGACAGGGCGTCTCATGCCTGGATCCCATACGCCCGCCATCATGGGCACTTGGTGAACCGGGCTTGGGCCTGCCTGCCAGGGCTCCAAGGCGGCTTCCTTCCTTGGGGTGAGTACACCGACCGAGGGGGGAGGTCTCTGGAGCCTGGCTAGGCAGGCCCACCCGCCGCTCTCATTGGGCGGCGGACGGGATTGGGGGTGGTGCGCGACCTTGGCCCTGGGAGCTTACACCTCCCATTGCCTCTCGGCAGCGGGTGGGTCCCGGGACAGGGCGTCTCATGCCTGGATCCCATACGCCCGCCATCATGGGCACTTGGTGAACCGGGCTTGGGCCTGCCTGCCAGGGCTCCAAGGCGGCTTCCTTCCTTGGGGTGAGTACACCGACCGAGGGGGGAGGTCTCTGGAGCCTGGCTAGGCAGGCCCACCCGCCGCTCTCATTGGGCGGCGGACGGGATTGGGGGTGGTGCGCGACCTTGGCCCTGGGAGCTTACACCTCCCATTGCCTCTCGGCAGCGGGTGGGTCCCGGGACAGGGCGTCTCATGCCTGGATCCCATACGCCCGCCATCATGGGCACTTGGTGAACCGGGCTTGGGCCTGCCTGCCAGGGCTCCAAGGCGGCTTCCTTCCTTGGGGTGAGTACACCGACCGAGGGGGGAGGTCTCTGGAGCCTGGCTAGGCAGGCCCACCCGCCGCTCTCATTGGGCGGCGGACGGGATTGGGGGTGGTGCGCGACCTTGGCCCTGGGAGCTTACACCTCCCATTGCCTCTCGGCAGCGGGTGGGTCCCGGGACAGGGCGTCTCATGCCTGGATCCCATACGCCCGCCATCATGGGCACTTGGTGAACCGGGCTTGGGCCTGCCTGCCAGGGCTCCAAGGCGGCTTCCTTCCTTGGGGTGAGTACACCGACCGAGGGGGGAGGTCTCTGGAGCCTGGCTAGGCAGGCCCACCCGCCGCTCTCATTGGGCGGCGGACGGGATTGGGGGTGGTGCGCGACCTTGGCCCTGGGAGCTTACACCTCCCATTGCCTCTCGGCAGCGGGTGGGTCCCGGGACAGGGCGTCTCATGCCTGGATCCCATACGCCCGCCATCATGGGCACTTGGTGAACCGGGCTTGGGCCTGCCTGCCAGGGCTCCAAGGCGGCTTCCTTCCTTGGGGTGAGTACACCGACCGAGGGGGGAGGTCTCTGGAGCCTGGCTAGGCAGGCCCACCCGCCGCTCTCATTGGGCGGCGGACGGGATTGGGGGTGGTGCGCGACCTTGGCCCTGGGAGCTTACACCTCCCATTGCCTCTCGGCAGCGGGTGGGTCCCGGGACAGGGCGTCTCATGCCTGGATCCCATACGCCCGCCATCATGGGCACTTGGTGAACCGGGCTTGGGCCTGCCTGCCAGGGCTCCAAGGCGGCTTCCTTCCTTGGGGTGAGTACACCGACCGAGGGGGGAGGTCTCTGGAGCCTGGCTAGGCAGGCCCACCCGCCGCTCTCATTGGGCGGCGGACGGGATTGGGGGTGGTGCGCGACCTTGGCCCTGGGAGCTTACACCTCCCATTGCCTCTCGGCAGCGGGTGGGTCCCGGGACAGGGCGTCTCATGCCTGGATCCCATACGCCCGCCATCATGGGCACTTGGTGAACCGGGCTTGGGCCTGCCTGCCAGGGCTCCAAGGCGGCTTCCTTCCTTGGGGTGAGTACACCGACCGAGGGGGGAGGTCTCTGGAGCCTGGCTAGGCAGGCCCACCCGCCGCTCTCATTGGGCGGCGGACGGGATTGGGGGTGGTGCGCGACCTTGGCCCTGGGAGCTTACACCTCCCATTGCCTCTCGGCAGCGGGTGGGTCCCGGGACAGGGCGTCTCATGCCTGGATCCCATACGCCCGCCATCATGGGCACTTGGTGAACCGGGCTTGGGCCTGCCTGCCAGGGCTCCAAGGCGGCTTCCTTCCTTGGGGTGAGTACACCGACCGAGGGGGGAGGTCTCTGGAGCCTGGCTAGGCAGGCCCACCCGCCGCTCTCATTGGGCGGCGGACGGGATTGGGGGTGGTGCGCGACCTTGGCCCTGGGAGCTTACACCTCCCATTGCCTCTCGGCAGCGGGTGGGTCCCGGGACAGGGCGTCTCATGCCTGGATCCCATACGCCCGCCATCATGGGCACTTGGTGAACCGGGCTTGGGCGGCCAGGGCGCCATTTGGTGCCAGGCTTGCCTGCTGGCCGCCCGGCAGGGGAGCCCTGGGATTTTGGTGGTTTGAATTGCTGCTTATGTCGCTCCACGTTGAACCCGATGTGTTTCTGCGAGTTGGAGTTGAATACATCCTAAAGTTTCCCAATGACAGTTTCTCTTCCTTTAAAGAAAGTGTACCACTTAGCAATGCTGACCACCAAATACCAGTTCATGCTAAAGCTTTGGCATGTGTCTTGTCCAGTAGACACACTAACTGGATTATGGCTACCGCCAAGTAGCACATGGGCTGGAATGGGGGCTGTGTTCTGATCCGGTAACAGTGAAATCCCCCTTGGCACAAGTGTGGACTGGGATTGGATGCACCAGGCTGGACCAGACCCCAGTACTGTTTGGTGCTCCTGGAGGACCAGGATAGAAGTGGGATGGATTATGCTAGGTTGCAACCCCTACTGAACCATGTGTGAGCCGTATGTGGGAATGGACTGGACGAGCCATGGCTGGGCTGAAATATCCAACAACAAGAACCAGCTTGGGTCAAAAGCTAGTCATGAACCTGGCTAGGGCTGGCTCATGGACCCACTGGCATGCGCAAAAGCCGGCACTGGGAGAGGTTCTGATGGAGGAGCCTGGGCAACTCCTCTGGCAGGACACAGACCCCACTGGTATGCGCAAGAAGCATGAATGGAAACAGCCCAGAGCAGGCCAC